GTTTTTTACATGAAAACTGGAGACTAAGGCAAACAAAAATTTTTAAAAATACTACTTATAAAAGAATATGCAAATAAAATAAATGTCAAATAGCAACCCTTAACATCTTCAGGGAGATAAGTAGAAGATATCCTGAAACTGTACAAGTACTACAAAAATGGGAACAAAAATTAAAAAGTAGAAACCATAGAAATTTGTAAAACTTATATGAGAGACACAAAGCTCCATAGAAGTTCAGAAAACACAACGTAGGTATGCCATATTCAAGGGGCCTCCTAAGTGCCTAGCACAGTGGACAAACATTGGCTCTCACCAGTGTCCACTTTAGTGAAAATGTATTTCCTAAACTTTCAGATAGGAGGAAATCACAATTAAAGGATCAGAATTAGTATAAATTCAGACTTCTCAGCAGCAACATGTGGAAATGGAGAAATGCGTGTAAAACGCAGAAGAAAAAGAAATTCTAGTTCAAGCCAGGGTACCAGGTAAACTGTGTGTGTAAAACAAAACATTTTTAGACTGCACCATCTCCCCACCTTTTCAGAGCAGCCACTGGAGGACAGGCTCCACATAGGAGAGGCTAAAGCGAGAAAGAGACAGAAGGCTGGAGAAAATAGGAGCCCCAGCGTAGGAGGCAGCTGCAGGAGCTCACGCCAGGAGAGCTCTGAAGAGAGAGCCCAGAATGACAGCTGTGCCCAGACACCAAGGGTACCTAGTCTACAATAAGGTAGACCGAAAGGCTCTAGAAGGATTTTTCCTAGAAAATCTTCATGAAGTAACTGATGTATGAAAATATCTTGAGAGGGGATTGAGAGACTGACCAAGAGTGTAAAGACAACTCAGTGGTAACTACCTAAGAAGCTAGTAAACGGTAGGGGAAAGGAATTAAAAACAAATCAACTGTTAACATCAAAACTGAAATTTAACAAAATAAATAAATAAATAACTGTTTATTCCATAGCACAGCCCTGGGGAAGATTTATTAGTGATAATACACACAGAATACTAATTTAACAAAAATTGTAATATAACTGTCTTCAGAAAATAAGGACATGGATATAATTGGGGGTGTGGATATATAGAGAGACAAATCTTCATCTTTAGTAGAAAGTCAATAGATGATTTCTAAAACTGAAATAATACTAAGAAGAATGGGAGGAAGATGAGCAGGTTACATATAGATAGGGAAGTGAATTCTGAAAAAACACAGTAGAAATGTTGGAAGTAGTTGCCGTTAGGAAAAAGAAAATGGGGCTGGGCACCATGGCTCACGGTGGCTTCCCAGCACTTTAGAAAGCCGAGGCGGGCAGATCACTTGAGGTTAAGAGTTTGAGACCAGACCGGCCAATGTTGGGAAACCCTGTCTCTATTAAAAATACAAAAAATTAGCGGGGAATGCAAAAAATTAGCAGGGAATGGTGGTGTGTACCTGTAATCCCAGCTACTCAGGAGGTTGAAGTGGGAGAATCACTTGAACCCAGGAGGCGGAGGTGGCAGTGAGCCAAGATCGCACCACTGCACTCTAGCCTGGGTGACAGAGCAAGACTCTGTCAAAAAGAAAAAAGAAAAGGAAAAAGAAAATGGGTGAAGGACAGAATATTTTTTGCTATATTTTGGAACTAAATGTTTGAAACTATAATTGATATAATTATGCCACATAAAATCCGCAACATATGTAAACGTACTTTATTTAGGAGACCGAGGTAGAACATCCACTTTAATCTGCAGTCATCAAAGTTCAAACTGTTCACGATTTTTAATAAGCAATGCTCTCATTCTATCACGAACAAAACACATGTTCTCTACTAAATAATATAACTTCCTTTCTCAATTGTAGAGAATAGACATCTAACACCATACACAGTTTTATTCTTATGTGTATTTCAGCAATTATTTAGCTGTGACAGTGGGAGCAAATGCAGGAGCCAGGTTCTCCAAATTTTGTTTTACTAGTGCAATGGGGTCATAAGTTTGCGAAAGAAGTTTATAAAAATAAACATGTTGTGGTTTGGGGAATAAGAAACCATAACACAAGAATTACTTTAATTAAAATCACTTAATATTGTACAACCCAGCATTGTGTTATATTTCAACAAAACGGTGTACAACAATAAACATTCACTTGCATCCATTAGTGCATTTAATTCAATAAGTAGATTTTGGGAATTCATCAGATGGTCGGCTTGTGGGCATTCAGAGAACAGTGATGTCGTCAAGGTGTCTATCTCATGAGTCTGCTCATCCAGTAAGTAGGAGATCCTAGAATTCTTAGAATTAAAACAAAATTTCTCATCTACATTTTTATTTCATTGGCCAAAAAGTGTTCTCAAATTAAGTTCAGTAGACCTGTCTCATTGATCCACGGTGAAACACCTCCTTTAATTTGGGTGCAGTTGATTAAAGAGAGAATAGGAAGAAAATAGGCAGCTCTATATTCATGAAAAGACTGTTTTCCAAAGTGTTCTTAATACAACCTACTTGAAGCCTAGAATTCATTTTCCTCTGGAAACAATACTCACATGGGAACAGCTGACACTAAGAAGAGTGTGTTTGATGTTCTTGGGCACCTATGGCTTATTTATTTTCTATTGGCAATACTCATATAAGCGTGTTTGCACATGCAAATGTATCCCAATCATGTTGTGTCTGGGAAAAAATAACAGTATAGTCAACTGAAATGGTTATAAGTGTTTCTTTTCTTTACTTGCCTTTAAAGGCACCCAGTCAGACTACTGAGAGTACAGACATGTGCCCAGAAGTTTCACAGTAGCTTATATTTCAGCATGAAATTTGGTATCTGATGGTATATTTTCTCCTTCCCATCAACATTTTTGCATGAACCGCATTATGCACAGCCTAGGATTTGGGGAAGGAGGTGTATAGATTAAATCCCATGGCCACAAACATTTTGCTTCAAAGTAAAATGCAAAAAAAGAAAAATAAAAAAAACACTTTTGACCTGAAGTCACTTCAATGTGAGTCTATGAAAATAAATATCTTTGAGAGAATTGCCTTTTTAAAAAACATTATTTTGAAATAAATACACCATTTTGAAGTAGGCTAATGTGCACAAGCTCTTTCTTGGACGTATTATTTTAAATGTATGACTTTTTCATTTCAAAGGAAAGAAGCTCTTTTGCAAATGCCCTTTTCTAAAATGTAGAAGAACAATTTCCGTTGCAAAGTAGGTTGTGCAGAGCCTCTGCGATCCTACCTAAATTATTAATTTGGTTAATCAGTGCATTCCCTTCACAGATACTCTAAAGGGAGACTAGTCCCACTCCCTGTCCAAAATTTTACACAATATTAATTAGTAAATTTTTATTTTAAAAAATGAAAATAGTATTAAACCCAGTCAATGCCCAGTTGTCTTATACAATATATATGATGCAAAAATTGGTATGTTTCATTATAGTTTGCACAAAGGAATTTGGTCTATATTTCTCCTACACATACAATCTATATTTTATAACCGAAAAAACCTCCTTTCCAAACCCACTACAAATAATTTCTTAAGATGTATAATTAGGACACTTGCCTCGAATCCTTTGATAGGTTTTTAGTTCATTTCTTGGGAGAAGTGTTCTGGTTGTTTCTTTTTTAATCAAAGCTGCTTTGCTAAATTGCTTTCCAAGCAGACCTCAGAATATTTGTAGTCAAAGTCTGGCTCTGGCCTTGTCGCAATTTGAATATTAACAGTCATAGTTTTACAGGCCTTCCATTTTGAGTAATGCACTGCAACTTCCACATTTCAGCCATCATTTTTTCCCTTCCTCAGCCGGCCCTGGCCCTTAGAATGTTTGCGTGGTGTCACCGTGAATGTGCTCGGAGCAGAGTTATATGGCATCATTTGGAGAAACATTGCGTTAATAACCAGAGTTCAAGGGCAAAGGATATAAACGGAGCAAATTACAAGTCTGAACAGATATATAGCTTTTGCTAAAAGGGACATGGGCTGCTACTTTATTTACTGGGCACTGGTGCACTTGTGGAAGATGCCAGTACGCAAAAAGGCATTTTTAAAGGACCACATCACAGCCTAAGAAAACAGCATACATTTTCAGACTAGGAAGAAAGCTAGCGCAACGATCAACGATTCTGTTTCTTAATGAGAAAATATGATTTGCTATCGGATACCTTAAGTTTCCGGAGTAATTTCACAGAGGATAATATCATTTTATGTGCCACCATGGAAGGAAAGGAGAGGTTTGTTGGAAACCTAAATTCTATAAATCATTTCATACTGCACCTTTGCTCAATTTGTGAGGGATTTTTTGTCGTAACCATTTTAACCAGGGTTATCACCCTAGTTCAAAATTAACACCATGAAAGAGTGATTTGTAAAAATGCTATATTTTTTTTATATATCAACTTCAGAGTTATTTCAATGATTGAACAGAAACCAAAGTTCAAAAGAGAGGAAAAAATTTTTTACAGAAACAAAAGGACTTCATTAACAACTAAAAAAAAAGAATATCAAAAAATAATTCCCACTTGCTACGTTACCAAATACTTTTCCTAATAGTCTCAATAAGATGGAGCATATTTTTAAAAATGTGATATATTTCACAATGTATACATATATCAAAACATCACGTTGTGTACCTTGAATAGATACAATTTTTATTTGTCAATTTTACCTCAATAAAGCTGAAAAAAATGTAATACAAGATTTTCCTACTGGCAGGATGGTATGGCACGATATTTGTTTTTGTAAGTTAGCTTGAAAATGACTGTTGAAAAAACTAACAAAATGTTTCTAATGTATGGCCTATTTATTCCACTTAAATACATTTCTCTGAAATTAATCATTTAAAACATGGAAATTTTGCCTCAAGATGTTCCTTACGGTGTTATTTACTCTGGTGAAATCCAAAAGAAACCTAAATATCCAACATTGGGAAGATAGTTGAGCAAATCATATATATAATTAATGAAAGATTATGCAGTTATTAAAATTGGTTAATATGGATTTTCTCTGATAGTATTAAAAAGTGCCTTTGACATAATGCTATGTGAATCACTACATAATCCCACAATTCACATATACTCTTTTATAAGTATGTAAGCATACATATAAACAATTCTAGTAAGAAGTATGCATACATTTAATTTACATGTGCATTTTTTTTTGTATATGCTGTCCCTGTTAGCCTGATAGGATTATTAGTTTCCTTTTCCCATTTCTTTTTTCTGAACTTACTATTCTGTTCATATGATATTTGAAAGAGAAATATTTGTACTTAAGCTTTCTCTCTCCACCCACTCACTCTTCAATCAGTTATATAAAATACACCTTGGTGACATGTTTTCATCTCATTTATTAGTATTTTAAACATGGCTTTCACTTCCTTCGTGGTGGTAGTGGACAGGGCAGAGGAGGATGGTGGAATTCTAAAGCACAATTAAACAGAAAAACATTTTCCTCATAGAAAAAAATCAATGTTTTTTTCTAAACTATGTTGCTCTCAGAAGTAAATGAATCAGCACCAGCAGGACTGACTGACTCCCCGACAGGAGATGCTTTACCTTCCGCATTGCGGGTTGCAAAGGAGAAACGCTTGCAGTGAATGGACCTGTCTGTCCTTCAGTTGCCAAAGAAGAGCCCGGATGACACAATAGCTCTCTATCAATCCCATTTCTATGGTGGCTCACGACTTATTCTCTCCTGCTATCCGTCTGCCTGCTTCGACCCTCACTCTCAACCTAACGAGTTTTAAAAAGGACACCTCTTAAATAGAATTGCCTAAAACAATGCGCTGTCATCCTTTTGCAAGGACAAATATATTCAAATTGCCCATGACTTTTAAACACGTAAAAACTAGATAAATTATGAAAATGTTGCACATCCTAATGCACAAAATATGTATCTCGGGAATATCCTTCTATTTTTTCTTTTTTTGGGGAAAAAAAAAGTTTACTAGCGTTTACTAGCCGATTATGTTATATTTTTAGCCTTTCTAGAATATTTAAAGTGTATTGTCCACGACCCTCCTTTTTAACCCATTTTCAATGGGTTTAATATTGCCCGAGATAAGGAGATGCAACTGTTCAGGTCTGATTTCCTGTTGTTTCTCAGATACCGATAGGGCATCATTCACATGAACGACAAATAAGACTTCTGAACTGTTTGCAATTTGGGAAGGGGAGGCTTGTGGGTTGTTCGTTGGCGAAGTGATTTGTCAAACAACAGTTCGAAATTATTCGGGGGTTCTTCGCCCTCCACTTTCCCATAGCGCGTTTTCCTTTCTCCCACAGAGATATAATAGAAACTAATCTTCAAAATCCAAACATTCCAAGCCCCGTCCTTTTGTGCAGGCATCTCGCTGTCTGCGCTGGGCACGGAGCGGCGCGCGCGCGCCCGCCTTTCCCTCGGCGGCCCCCCGCGGCTCGGACCCGGGCCGGCAGACAGGCCATCCATCATCCGCCCTCCTCCCGCCGAGCGCCGCCGCCGCGGCCAATCCGGCGGCAGGTGGGGTCGCACCTGCGGGACAGCCCGCCGCTTTCCTCCGCTCTCTTCGCCGCGCCTCGCGTGCTAGCGGCGCCCTTGTGAGCCACTGCGTTTTCCAAGGCCAGAACGGGACAGGTACGCTCGGGTGACAGGGACCGTATGTGCGCCGAGCCCGCGGCTGGCAGCCAGGGGGGCGGCTGGAACGTGGGAGGACACGCTCTCCCTTAATGCACACGCGTGCTTTGGTTGGGTGTGTCATCTCTGTGTGGACACACGGGCCCTCACTGGGTTTAGTCTCTTAAAAAGTTGAAGAATTAAGATGCTTACCTTTGGAAGGGAAGTGTAACTGAGAACACGTTTTAGTGATAGAATGTGTTGCCTCTGGTCTGTTTCTTGGGTGAACCCATGGTGGAGTTTCCAAGTCACGTCTGAATTCCGCATGCCCGCTACACACTTCAGGCAGTATTCCCCCAAGGCCTAAGTGAGAAATATTGACCCAACGCTAAAGATTAAATAGTATCCATAGGATACGAAAATTACCCCAAACAAAACCTAACCTAGACCTAAAGGGCCGTGAAAAGATTGTAACAACTTAAAGAAAAACTAGGACCTCAAAGCACAGAGCTTTCATTTTCCAAATAGGCGAATTATTTGTAGTGCAATCCGCTTGTTTTTGTGGGGGCTAAAGCGGGTGTAGAGTTGCTTGGCTGTTCTGTGGAGGCAGCTAGATAAGTCCTGCTGGCATGTTATGGATTTTGTAAGTGGGCTCAGTAACTCCCTTTGATTTAAAATGTCCAAAACATATTTTATCATGTAATTTGAGAACAAATGAGAACAAGCAGAATGCCTGCCTCCCCCGATATGTTCCAGGAGTGTGTCTATGTAGATGTCAATTATGTAAGTGCAAGGCCTTGGAAAACAACAGCCCTGCAGGTGGCTTCAAGGCTTCAAGATTTTTCAGAAAAGCATATTTCTTAAAGAAAAATACAAAATAAAAATAACAGCAACCACAGCCACAAGCATTACCCTCCAACCTCCTGCCCCTGTCTTGCTTCTGAGTCATAAATCATGAAAAAGAGAGAGACAATGACTCCAGTTTTCCTGCCTTTAACAACTGGAACTGCTAATGCCAAAAAGGAAGAGCAATAAACAGGCGAGCTGTATCGCTGCAGAAGAAGGAGAGGTGCGCTTGGGAAACTGGAGGTTTCTCATCTCTAAGGATTTCCCCTCCCTAAAAAGGGTCTCTCCCTTTAAAGTTAGTGGTTCTCAAACCTGTCTTCATGTGAGATTCACACAGGCTTTTGTTTTTGTTTTAAGAAATACAAATGCCAAAATTAATACTCTGGTTTGATTGGTCTGGGGTGTGGTGGAGGCAGAAGCACTTTGGGGTTAGACATAGGTATTTTGGGAAAACCTTTCCAATCCTTGGCATGTGCAGCCATCCAACTGTGCATTCCAACCCTGTTCTGTTTCATGGAATACATGAGATGTTATTTGACTCTATTTCATGAGATATATGAATGGGATTCATGGGATAGTATTCTGTTCTGTTTGACCGGATACAGTTATCCCCCCATCCCACAGTTGTCTCCCCTGTCCACTCAAACATATGCACAGAACCCACATTGGGTAAACAAGACCTCTCTTTTTTTTCTTATCCACCACTCAGTTCTATTACCATTTTAGTGTCTTCATTCCGGTTGTTAAAATGTATCAGTCCTCATTTTAACACCTCGATAGCAGTTTGGGATTTTTTTTATTTGCTATTGATGCATTTATATTTACATATTATTATTTAAAATACTGACTTTTGGGGATTGGAAAGCAAGTGATAGACTTGCTGTGAAATTTTGAAGTCTAAAATGTTTTTATCAGAATCTGGAAGCCCAGCGTGGTGGAGAAGTTCCCCCTTCAGAGCGTGGCCTTTGTTCATCTCCTTCAGGCCCACCTGAGCCACTGAGGATTGCCCACAGAAGGCTGGCTGCACGTTTTGTATGAGCAGAACATTCTTCCTGTCACCAAAGTGGAACTGAAGTTTCTCTTTCCCTTGGATTTCCTCACTCTCCATGGCCAGCAGCGCCACATTTCTGGATTACGTTGTATGCTTTACCTTGAGAGATAGATGATCTGTTCTTTGATTAGACACCCTGACCTTTTATGAGTGTTGATCATTGATCATGATCTGGGCTGGATAGAAAGCTCTTGACTCTGAAAAGTTACTCTGCTGCCGACACCACAGGGAAATGCAATTTCTGAGTCCCAGTAGTCACTGTAGCAGGACTCCCCCTCGATTAGGATTTCTCTTGTTATTATTTTACTTTTTTAAAGCAAGCTGCAGCCTCTACTATCCAGCTCTAGCTTTTAGTTACAGTAATCAATTTTTCTGTGTAACTGGCTGTAATTGTTGGCTTGGATATTGAGCTTTCATGGAACTTAGACATAGAGTGTTCCCGTGAAGGGTCTTCTCCATACCTAGCAGACAGATGGGTAATAATGCCATACATTAATACCTCCACATTGGTTTATGTGTGTTTGACCACAGTGCAAGCATAATTATTTTTGCCCAGTAAAAGCTATTAGAGATCTATTTGGTAGGTTTTACGATCAATAGCTCCTGTGATATTTGTGTAGCAGCCACAGAATAATCAATTGAAGGTCATATAAAGTAAATTACCATCCTCCTATAATGATTCTTTTTTCTAGATGAAAATTGGGTTTTATTATTTCATCAGGAGCCTCTCACGATACATGCTCTGTCTGTTTGAGAAAGAGAGATATAAAAATTGTGAGTGTGTTTTGAACATAGTATTAATATCCATTACTTGAATTTATGGTATTGGATTATTGAATTAGTGGATTCACACCGGAATTCCTTCAAAACCCTTTCTTATGTACTCAGTGACACACTTAATAACAGTCGAGAGCAAACGGACGCCTTTGCCGCATGGTGGAGTGAGTCACTTTGCAAAAGTCAATCTTGGTAGCTGTCTCTTTAAAGCAAATTTAGAGTTGGTTAAATGTGTTATATTGACAGTGTGACCGACTGAGCTTCTCTCTGCAAACCCTTTTGGAGAGTGACTGGTGAACTAAGCAGGAGATGGAGCCAGGAATGCTGAATACTAATGCATAGTCCATGAGTTGCTCAAGGTGAAAGGGGGGCAAGTGGTGGGCGGACAGGAGAGAGGCCTGTGCACCTGCTCTTCAGCCAGGCCTCTCCATCACTCGAGATGCCTAACCTGGATTTCAGACTGGCAGTGCGAGCCAGAGTGATGGCTGTGCCTCTATAAAAGATTGCAATTTGCCAACCGGAGGCATGCAATCCCCCAACTGTCTTAAAGGGACCCATTTTCAAAGTGTAGCCTTTCTTTTTGTGGGTGCAATCAGTTGTGCACTGAAAAACTGCAGCCACAGTTGGATAACTGCAGTCACAACAGGCCACGAGAGGCCTCTTTGCTCCAAATTTTGTACCTGCAACTAATTGCACTTACAGAAAATGGGAGTGTGGTAGGAGCTTTTTTAAAAAATTGGGGCCAGTAAATTCTCCATGGAGGAAATAGGCAAGGAAAGAGACAATTACTCACTTTCTTAAGGACAAAGGCAAATGGAGACATCCTTTCCTTGACACACCCCATCTAGTCTATAGATCATGGTCTAGAAGCCAAATACCAGGTACCACAAATGCCCTGATCATCTGGGACATTGCCTGGTACTCAGTAACATCTTGCAAATGTACAAGAAATAATCTACTGGAAAGTAGCCCAGAGAAGACATTAGTGAGTTTGAGACGATAACTCTGGTGATAAATTAATGAAGTGTTTTATAATAAATAGCAGAGGGGATTTTCTTTCTATTTAAATTGTTATTGTTTTTACTTCTCATTTGCTTTTCAGATAACTCATGCAAAAATTAAGATATTAATGACTCTAGATTTTATTCAAAAGGTAAATCAGGAGCCTCTTTGCATTTACATATATTTATAAATGTACATACATAAGATATATATGTATTTATACATATACATAAATTATATATGGTATATCTGTATATGCACATATATACACATATTTTATACATACACTTTTTTTTTTGAGAGATAGTCTTGCTTTGTCGCCCAGGCTGTAGTGCAGTAGTGCAATCTCAGCTCACTGCAGCCTCTGCCTCCCAGGTTCAAGTGATTCTCCTACCTCAGCCTCCCAAGTAGCTGGGACTACAGGTGTGCACCACTGTGACTGGCTAATTTTTGTATTTTTAGTAGAGACGAGGTTTCACCATGTTGGCCAGGCTGGTCTCTAACTCTTGACTTCAGGTGATCTACCAACCTCAGCCTCCCAAAGTGTTGAGATTACAGGCATGAGCCACCACACCCGACTACACACACTTACTTTAATTACTTTTTTGATGAGCCTAGGGAAAGGGCAGTCTTGTCTTTTTTTTTTTTTTTTTTTGACAGAGTTTCACTCTTGTTGCCCAGGCTGGAGTGCAATGGCACGATCTCAGCACACCACACCTCTGCCTCCCAGGTTCAAGTGATTATCCTGCCTCAGCCTCCCGAGTAGCTGGAATTACAGGCATGCACCACCACACCTGGTTAATTTTGTATTTTTAGTAGAGACGTGGTTTCTAATTGTTGGACAGGCTGACTCACCTCCTGACTGCAGGTGATTCGCCTGCCTCAGCCTCCCAAAGTGCTGGGATTACAGGCGTGAGCCACCGCGCCTGGCCCAGTCTTGCTTTTAAAGGGATGCACAAATACGACTTGGGTGACTACCAAGTCCTGGTAGGTGAATTTCCTGCCTGGGGACTTGTGAAGTTATGTCTCACAAGGAACCCAGCTTACCATCTATTCTGTACAATTTAGTGACAGGCAAGTTGAGACTCAAAACCTTGATTTCTACCTTTTGCAGATGACTATAAATTAAACTCATAGCCTGGGAATTATAAATAAAATATGAAATAACATTTGTATTTTGAGATACTGTTCTTATAGAAATAGTTTGAAATATAATTTTATCCCAATAACAAATTTAATCACCAAACAAAACAAGCAAAGTTTTAGTAGTTCTTATTTTTCCCAGGAAATTGATGACAGAGTAGTGTAACAGGAGTTAAAAATTGAAGAAGTCCAGACAGGAATA